GAATTTCAGGGCCCACGAGTAAAGTTTTATTGAAAAACGTTCATTTATGTATTGTCCACGGCCGCTGAATGCTGCGAAAGCAGAGCTGAGTGGTTGTGATGGAAACCACAGGGCCTGCAAAGCCTCAACTGCTCACTATCTGACGGCCCCTGCTGCTGGCTGCCATAGACCAACCTTTAAACATTTCTTTTTTTTATTGTATTCATGCCCAAACTTTTGAAGGGTTCTGTCTCCTCCCTCGAGGGGATGAAACTTTGTTGATCTGACTGCCCCGTGTGTGCTACATCAGTCCCCAGGAGTTAGCAACCAAAATTCGTTTCCAGTGACACTCTATCAGGTACTATCCATTCTGGGCCAACTGGTCTCTGAGCTGCCCCGCAAAGGCATGGAAGTGCCTTCATCTGGTTTGTTCTTCTTGCCCAGTGAGCCGCCTCCTACAATCTAAACCCTCTCCATTCCTCGCTCACTCTGGGTCCCCAGGTCCCCAACCAGGACCAATTCCCTGCTTTGCCAAGTATTCCCCCGGGTGTATTCTATGGAACATCAATCCCGAGAGATCTCCTTGGAAAAAGGAAACTGCAGACTCTACCCTCTCTTGGAGTCACAATATACATATCTGACATATTAAAGGCTCTGAGAAGTCCTGCAGTATAGACGCCCATTTCCCTCTGCTTAACTCAACTTTTGCCAAACACATTAACCAGAGACTTCATTTTGTCTACAGAACACTTGTTAACTACCAGCATCCAGTACAGTGCCCAGATTTCAGCATTTGTTGAAAGAATGGAAAATGCTAACATTCCACAGAACTAGGAATCCACAGAAAATGCTTTGGAGATGCCGCGCAAGCTCTTTCTTCTCTCCCTTGGATCTGGGACATTCCCTTCCAAGTCATCTGCTCCACCCCATGTAATGTTCATCATAACAGCTATCATTTATTTAGCACCTGCAGGTACTGTGCTAGAGAGCTCTAGGCCCTTGAAAACCACATCTCTTTTCATCCTCAGGACCACCTCTGAGGTAGGTCATGTTACTCTATCACTGCCAGTTTGCCAAAAATTAAATCATGGGTCAGAACATTTAAATTCCTGGCCCAAGATAAAGTAAGTAGAAAAGCTAGAATTCAAAACCACATGAGTCTAACTCCAAAGCTCATGATCTTTCTTCTCTACCAAAGTATCTCCCTGTAACACTGTGGCCAACGTGATACCTGGCTGTCCACCTGATACCCCTTGATGCCTCATCCATGCCAGCCGAACCCCGATTTTGCATGCAGTGGCAACAGGTCAATGGACCGTGACCCACCAAGCCCACCACGACGGTGTTCCCACTTTCCCCCTTCCCAGCCTTGCAGCTAGGACCAGCCGTTTGACCCAGTTCTGGCCAAGAAGACATAATTAAACATTTGAACTTCTGTGGGGTTTGGAGGAGGAGGTGTCCTGGGGGAGCTGAATAAAGATATGGACCAGCTATGCCTTGAGCCCCACCCAGTTCCCCTCCTTCCTGCCTTGAACCTGGTGCAATGGCTCAAGCCTCAGGGGCCATCTTGCAACCATGAGTATTTGCAAAGACATCAGCTCTGATGTTATTAACTTACTGAGCCAACTACATACCTCCAGACTTCTTGTTACATAAGAAAAAGGAACCATTATTTGATTAACCAGTGTGGTTGGATTTTCCATTACATGGAGCTGAGCACATTCCTAATGGACCCACGCGCTTTCCCCGCATTATTTACTGTTCGGGCTTTGTCATTTTTTCACATATATATTATTAGCCTTGTCTCCCCAACCATGGAGTGAACTTCTTGAAGGCCAAGCCTACAATGCACATTTTTGTTTCTACAGGGGTATACGCACATTAGTAAATTTTGCTAATTTTCAAGGTTTTCGGGGATCGTCTGTTCAATTTAATACCTTAGTGTTTGGGAGCAGGAAGTTGTCACCATGAAATAGCTGAGACATGGATATCTATCTCCTAATCGATCAGTATTTCTCAAAGTGTCAACATGAAAACATGCATCAGAAACACCTGGACTGTTTGTTAAATGCAGGTTCCTGGGCCCTCTCCAATCCCAACTGAATTAGACTCTCTGGGCTCAGAGGGTGGGAATGTGCATTTTTAAACAAGCACCCTGGGTGGTTTGGATATACACATTTTGAGAACTATTGGGATATAAAAACCCTGCGGGTTCAAAGCCTACATGGGGTTTGGCAGGATTTGACTAGACCTCGGGTCACCAGCCCCTCCTCAGAGGCCCTACTCTGGCCCTAAAGATCTGGGAATTTGAGACCCTTCCATGGGCAATATGAATAAAGCGGTTGGCATGCTCCGGGGCACACTGGGACTAGGAAACTAACAAACAGATGCAGTCCCAACCACCAACTTCCCACCGCGCCAGTGACGCCAAGCCCCAGTGTGAACAGAAAACCGCCAGGCAGAAAAGCAGCGACAGGATCCAGGGCCCACTGCGCCCATCACCACTGTCCAGGGAGCTATCAGGGGATGGAGCATGTCGAACAGAGGAGAAGAAACCTGGAGACACTCACACAGTAACACACCAACTAGTGTGTGGGACCCCAGGCTCAGAGGAGCAAGAGAGACCGCAGGGGGCCCTTCGGGTTGTTTGCTGGTTTGCTGCATGCAGCTCGGAGAATCGGACCTCGGGCACTGCTCAGACAGGAGGCTGGGCCAGAGCATCCCACACTCGCTCTTCCAGCCGCACAATCCTGGCCCAGCCGGCTCTCCCGAGGCTCCGAGAAAGAAAATACCTGTGCCTCCCAACTGAATTTCCACTCCTCTGATACCCCCTGACATTCATCTTATTTCATTTCTTGGGATCATTTTCCCAGATGACAGGTGCACAGAGCCATGTGGTGGCAAACAGCGTATTCAACACACACACACACACACACACCACCTCCACTTTCAAAACGATGACCTTCCTGCCTGCTGACATCCAGCCAAATTCAAAACCATGGAGGAACAGGAAAGGCCTGAAAGTGAATGGGAGAGAGGTGGTCATCCCGGCTAGAAGGAGGGACAGACGGGGGACAGAAGGGCTAAAAGATTCAGGTAAGGGTTGAACACTTCAGGCCTTGGAAACTCAGCCACCGCCAGCTGCTGGGAGTTCCCGAATTCAATCAAGCCATGTGCACAGCTGGACCAGTTTGGGGACAGGAGCGAGCCCAGCCCTTCAGATGTTTTGAACAACGCGGATGCCCAGTGACTCCGTGGACACCAGGCAGATGCTAAGCTTGGCTCTTGAAACCTTCCTCCTTCCACCAAGAAAGAACTGCTGCCATCTTCTTTCTGAGTAACTTTGCGCCCACCGCACCCCCCACCAAACCGCTTGGGACTCCCCCTCAAGTTCTGTTGAAGACAATCTTACAACACGCCCAAAGATAACTCCTCCTGGGACCCTTCTCCTCCCGTCCCACCGAGATTCAGGAGTATTTTCCCACACCGCTTGCGTGCGCTGAGCCGGGCATATTTTTATTTATTTTTTAATCTTTTCACACGTTTTAGGCCTGCAACAGCTCCCTGCATCCAAATGATGAGGCTGAAAATGGGGAGCTCAGTGGGGATTTTGAAAAATGCATCTTGCCTCCTGATCTGTGTATCGCCGGAAAAAAAAAACAAACACAAACACGAAAGGAAAAAAAAAAAAAAAAATCCAAGGAGCAAAAGGGGCGCCGGGAAGGAGGCGGAGAGACGAAGTCTATATTTATAGGCAACCCCATTCTGCGAGCAAAAACCACCTTTTGACCACCTGCAGAATGCGCAGGATCACGTGGGCCCTCTGCAGCGCCCGAATGTCTCACCCGGCGCGCGAGCCCCCGTGGCACACAAACAGATCCGCGAGCGGAACGGCGACAGAACTCGGTCCCCGGCCGGCAAGCAAGCGGCCGATAGATAATAATAAATAATGAATAACAATCACTACTACTACTACCAGCCCCCAGCCAAGCGCGGGCGGCGGCAGGACGGCCAGGGGACAGCCGGTGCAGGCTTTGCACGGAGATAAATCACAGAAAACCACCTCGCGCCCCCCTCGCTACCCTCCC